CTCTCAGTGTTCAAGTCCATCTTCATTTTTATGCTCACTTACGGCCATGAATGGTTGGTGATGGCTGAAAGGCTTCCATCCCGAGTACAGGCACAGAGTGAATGGACTTTCTGAAACGAGTCGCTGATCTTATGATCCGGATTACAGAAATCCGTGAGAACCTTTGTGTACAGTCGCTGTTCCTTCAGATTGAGAAGTCTCAGCTGCGATGGTTTTCGTATATGTTACGAATGCCTTCAGATGGAAAGTCTAAGCAACTATTTCTTACCCAATCGACCGGCAGAAGGCTCACGGGACAACCAAGGTTGGCCTGAGACACATATAAGGAAGGAGTCTGCTCTCGACTTCGGTTATCTTCTGCCGAAGCTCTGACTTTGTCACATGATCGGGAACGTTGAAACCAGTGTCTGATCAATCTACTTCTGCGACCCGATAGAATAGCTAGTTATCTAAACTGACTGACTTCGCTCAAGTCTTTCACAAGTGTTCTCCGAACGTAATGGTGAGTTTAGTTATTTCAAGGTATTTTGCGTATTCTCATTTTTCCATTAGTCACCGCATTAGCTGTTGACATACAGGACAAATATTAGGACAGTGCCATCTATTCGACAGGTTAGATGGCTTTTCTGTTAGTCCCGTTGTTCTTCTAATCGGCAGATAGAAAGTGACATTCTTGGTCTATACTTCTTCCTGGAAATGCCACTGTCACATCGTCCGCGGTAGCAAACTTTCTTTGTGACATATCGCTGGATCTTGTTCACCGGACTCTAAACCAACCTGTCGTCCATTAAAGATGATCAGTGTCAGAAGTCAAACGGCAATTACACCGTAAGGTGAATTATTCATACTCTCTTTTAACCCGTACAACGGTCAACGGTCGCCCTTGAGGTTTTTGGTGACTCTCGAAGCGATCGATTAAGGTAGCTAAGACATTATCGCAAATTATCATATTCACACTTTATCACAAATTATCACAAACAAATTCTGGCGGTCTGTCCAAATTTCGCTGATACTTTTCTCAGCGACCTTGATGTCATATAGTCGAAGAGGTTTAGAGCTCGAAAACGGTTTCTGATATTTATGAAATGTTCTGTTGTCTCAGAGAAGATAGCACATGAATTGAATGAGGAAGTGTTTGATTGATGAATGAATAAATTTAGGAAATTTAGGTGT